ATATATATATATATATATATATATATATAAAATTATATTTGGTTTTAGAGAGATATGCACAAGTGTGCTGCACAATGTTGTGAAAATGAAACATACAGCATACAAAAAGTACATAACTGTGTGGAGAATTGTAGTTCCTCTTTAAATAAGGCACAACAATACGTTCAAGGAGAATTTGAACGAGTACAGGTAATTAAACTTGTTGAATTTATATAATTTCTATGATCTGACTGCTTGTGTATTTTGTAACATTTTGTTTAGAAGACGTTAAAGTATGTAAAAAGGTAGATGGCTGCAAACACACATGCATACACAAACTGTCAGGATTACACAATAAAAATATATTAAATTTATAATAATATATGTATTTATATACAGGGTGATTGAGGAGGAATCTGCAATATTCCGAGAGGTATTGATGATTCTAAGCAAAAAGAGTTATATCAACATTAGGTCCTATTCCTAACGGTTACCGAGATAGCCTGGTTATAACGTGAAAAGGGCACCATGCGTATGGAGGGATAGAAATGAAAAACAAAGACTGACAACGATGTGCAGTGTTGTTAATAGTTAGTTAATTGTTTGTTCTATTGTCTATAATAGCCTTAGGCTGGGCGCATACTATCGACTGTACATCGACTAAACTGTTTAATCGATGTCGAGTAGCAACAACGATTTCTTATTAATTAAATAATTTAATCGAGGACTGTATTATTACAGAATGAGTTTATTCAGTTTTAACGAGCTTCTCGTGTTAATTGGCCTATGTATTAGAAAATATAATACGATTTTTGTCGATAATATGCGACATTATAGACAATAGAACAAACAACCAACTAACTACTAACAACTGCACGTTGTTGTCAGTCTTGGTCTCCTATTTTTCTCCCTCCATACACATGGCGCTCTTTTCACGTTATAATCGGAATATCTCGGTAACCGTTAGGAATAGGATTCATGTTGATATGCCTCTTTTTGCTTAGAATAACCAATACTATCACTTTCTGGAATGTTGCAGATTCCTCTTCAATCACCCTGTACGCACGCACGTACGCACGCACGCACGCACGCACGCACGCATATTATTATGTATTTTATATACACATTTGTATGATATCCAAACTAAAGGATGCTTTAGGCAACAAATTTTAAATATGTTTTGTTTACTTACTTTTTAAGTATACTTTAGTTTTTAAAGTATGATGTGTATTTTTCAGAATCGCTTACAAAGGTGCATAATGGAATGCAATGATAATATAAAAGACAAAATGGGACCAAATCCGACTCAGAGTGAAGTAAACAGGTATAGCGAAGAATTTGAAAAGTGTGCTACTAAGTGTGTAGACTCTTATTGCGAATTACTGCCGACCTTGGAAAAATCTATGAAGAAAGTCCTCAGTAAAAATGAGTTATTGTAATATCTTTCTCAGCTGGGAAATAGATGTTAACTCTGCGTCTTACTTGTAATATCTTTGATTAAAAATATCTTCTGGCTAGCATATTACTTAAAAAAAAAAGTACTATGTACAAAATAAATGCAGCAGCATTTAAATCTGTTACTTACATGTATATAAATTGTTGAAAATATTTTTTACATGATTTATTTAATAATCCCCAAAAATTTATCTAAAAAAAAAAACATGATTATCTTAATCCTATCTCTTTTTCTCTTTTTTATTTCTTTCCCTTTTACTGTACCTATTTACAAGTGCCTATATAAAACATAAGAAATATAGAAAAAAATCAGCCGTTTAGTTAAAATCTATATCAGCGTGTGAGAATCAATAACAAACGACAGATTGGTACGCAGGTAAATGTAGGTTTTGATTTGAGTGCGTGCTATTGTACGCGATATTATTGGCTAACTTTCATTGCTCAAAAACAATTGTCTTGACATTTTCATATTAAAATTAACGATTTTAATCGGTCTCTAGGATAACTGGCATGCAAAAATATTATACAGTAATTTTAGGAGATCTTGTTTATAGCGTGAACTAACTCACTGTTAATCAACTAATTTATTTTCATTGTTAGCGGCTTCTAAGCGGATCCAATTTTTTTTTATTATATATAATTCGATTCATAAAGCCAACAAAGCTTCGAGAAGTTGAAAAATTTTTTAATTTTCTATATGTAAATAATGAATATAATCAAAACATTTATTGCTTGGACACATGCGCGCACATACAGACATCAGTATTTTTTGATGGAGAAATAAAAAATATTCCTTATCTCTTTTTTACTTTGCAGAAATGTAAGGCTTATAAGCATTAGCAAACACAATATAATAAACAGATGGAACGCATTAATAATGATTTGTATTAAACGAGAAAGTTAGTTTAGTATATAACGCGTCAATTGTAATATTATTTTTGATCGATCTCAATCGAATTATTATATTCAATATTATTGTTATAAATGCTACAATTCTTTAATTCTTTAATCATATAGTATACTCGCTGCATCTCACTCGGATAAATTATATCTCTTGTTTTTGAGGTACTCCGAATTTCGAGGAAGGAAATTCTCTGTCTCGTCCTTTTAGATTGTAATTCAACTGATCTGTAGATCGATGCAGATATGGCCTTTCCCTACCTTGGGTATTGATATTGCGATACCTGCGCAAACATGATCCACGTTCGCTCAGTAGCCGCCGGATCTCGGAACAAGCGTTACATAAGTAATATCTATCGAGATTTTACGTTCGGACTGTTCGGTCATGTTAGAAATTTGTTTATTATTACTCAAAACGCTTTTGCTATTTCTGTTTTAATTCTTCAATTTTTGTCTTATTGTTGAGTGTTGGTGTTTTAGTATTTTAACGTTTTTTTTTAGTATTTGGAAAAATGGAAAAGGTAAGAATTTATTCGTAAAGATATATAATGCAAAGATAAAGATATATATACATTTTTTTTGCGCAAAACATACGGATATATAAAAATGACGTTTATCGCAGTTTGTCATCTTTGTGATAAACATTTTTGATTCTGCTATATCTACATTAACTTTTCTATGTACATACATACATATATAGCTCTATATATTCGAAACTTTTTAATTCTGCAAATTTTGCAAGGTGTCTACTATACTTGTCAGCAGAAATGCAACAGAAAAGCCAGCAAAGATACAACAGAATTTGCTAATCAGAATATGGTGATAAATGAATTGCAGAAATCTGCCATTTTGTAATCACTTATAAATGATATGTTTCATTTAAATGGTTACGAAATGATAAATTCTATTCGGTTTCTGCAAATAATCTATCAGCAGATTTATGTCAGTAAATCTGTTGCAGAACACGAGCTTAAGTGGATGCGATTGATGTCGATCTGTCACAATATTGTGCTGGAATCTATATACCAGCAAACAAGCGTATTATTAACATTTTGTTTATTGAGTCGTTTTCATTAAAAGAAATAATATCTTTAAAAATTTCAAAAGATATGTGTGATAACGATAAAAATCTTTTAAGATAAAAAAAACCAATTGACAACATCAAATTCAATCGATGAAAACACTATATTTGAAACATATAGTGCGTTGAACACATTAGTGTGCACTATAATGTATATTAAAACCGTTATACATTGATCTAATCAGTATGTAAAGTAAAATGCAATGCAAATATCTCAAATAATAAAATACATATTTTTCCAAACAGCATATTAGTGTATTGAGGATTTCGTGGTTTGACCGCGGTTTATGTATTTATATTACACATTTTTTTTACGTCGAGTTGTGTGCAAAAATTCCAACCAAATTCGCTAATATAAGATGATTTAGCATTTCTAATTCTTCACATAGCCAAATCTACCAAGAACAGATTTTGAGAGTATCTGCTGCAAACTTTATCGATATAATACCAGCAGAAATGTCTAATTAATTAATTATTATATAATATATATTAATTATATATTATTATAACAGAATTTGTTAATAGTGTTAACCGAATATAGTAGATTGTATGATAATTTCGAGTAAATTGAAGTAATGTTTACATGTGTAACGTGAAAATCGTAACAAGTTAAACTTTAAATTATACTCTTTTTATTTTTTTATTTAGGTATTTATTTATGTTTTTTTAGCTTTCCAAAGTCTCCCCAAAATTTATAGCAACAAGCGTCAGTGAACAGATTATACCAGATCTGGGCACGTATTATGGAACTTTTCGAAATAGATTCCGATTGGAATTGTTTAGTTATTTTCCGGATTTCTATTGTGTTTTCTAGGGTAAACGGAATAATTCCGATCAGAATCCATTTCAAAAAATTCCATAATACGTGCCCTAGTTGTTGCGATATCTGAGCCAATCTGCTGCCAATCTGTTAAGTTGTACTGCGAGCAGTTTGCTTACTGTTTGCATCGAGCCGCTCGGATCGATGTATAAATAATATACTTTTTTATACATTTTTCATGTGGTTTACTATTTAACGAGTTTCTAATAAAACATACCTATTTTTATAAAACATACCTATTTTTCCACAAGTGCAGCAATTATTTTGTGCATAAAAGTTATCGTACAAGTATTACATTTTATTACATGTTTTTAATTTTTCAAAAAAAAATTATTTTTATATTTAAAATTGGAAAAAACTTATTTAAAATTTTTTAAAAATTTCTGAAACTTTTAAAAATAATATAAGATTTCATATTTTAAATATTTCTATGTGTAATTCTTTTTGAAAGATTAATATGCACACGTACGAAGACACTATTTGTAGTGTAAACATGTTGTTTATTAAATTTGAAAAGATATAGAAATGTATATTTAAATTAATAATTCTTATCATTTGTAATATTTTTACAAATTTACATTAAAATTTGTGAATGCAAATCAATCTTTCCTCACTCGTCAAAACATATTTGTGAAAATCATTTGAAATCGGAGAATAATGATTATGAGATTAAGACGTATCTATCTTTCCTTTCACTCGTGT